CGTCGCCAGGGGGCGTCCGCACCTGCCCTCCGCGTATTCCGCGAACCGAGCTGCTTTGTAGCCGGCCGGCGTCGGGGATCCTTTTTGCTTCGGCGTTGGTGATGTAAATTCATGAATTAAAATTAAGGATTTGCGGCGAACGTTGAAAAACGCATTTGGATTTAGGTTGCTTTTAAAAAGAAAACCACCAAAGAAGAGACGATAGGTTTGCAGGAGTATTAACTGCTGACTGGAACACTGGATGCCGGTGCATTACGAGGATTTGTTCTCCAAAAACTTTTTTTTTAATTGCACGTTGGTAAATATTGAGTGTTTTCAAGTAACATCCTGCAGTATGTATTTAATGTCCTCATTGCGGAAATTTCTTAAATGTAAGTAATAGTAAGTCCGCCATTTTGAATTGTTTCATGTAACACAGGCTGAAGTCTTAGGTTCCTGTGTTTCCCTGAGTTCCTTTCTGTTCTTTCTGTGAAATTGTCTTCATCCCTAGGTTTATTTCAGGTTGCCAGGTATTACTGTTCACAGGAGTAAATTATCCAGTGAGAATTTTTGTACCTACAAGGGTTAATGCAAGGGGAAATTATGCTCTTGTTTATTGTTTTTATTTCTTGGTCACAAATGCTGTGGAAGTTAAAATTACACATAACTAGTATTAGAAAATTTTAAAAAATTTACAGCATTGTTGGCAAATTGTGATTTAAAGTGACTTTACCTTGATGAAAAAACTCTCGTGTCATTTTTGTGCAGATGATTGTTATATTTAGCTAGGCGGTAATGCAGAAAACGCTTTTTAAAATGGATCTATTGGTAAAGCAAATTTTTAAGTTCACGAATAACATAAAACATCACAATTTAATATTATAAAAGATTTCGGGAAAACTTTAAAATTTTAAATTGAATTTCTGGAAACGTATGCCAGTTAATGTGATTTTTAAAATATAAATTTAATTGATATGAAATGTATGCCTTTTTTTTTCTGCTGCACAGATTTGATAGAGTCGTAACTTAACAACAGAATATGTAATAATCAGTATTCCATTTAGATGAATAAATAGACCCTTGTCCATTTGGTGGACAATTCTTGCTTCCCAAGTTCTTTATCTCTGAATATATGAAATAGGACAATCCAGTGTGTCTGAATTTCCTAAAGAGCTTTAGAAATTAAGCTGACACAGGCCTCTTTCTAGTACTTAGAGGGATACTACAGAGAATAAAGATAGTACAGAGAATAAAATGCTTTATCTGACTTTGCCATTTTACAAATAGAGTCAACTCATCATTGCTTGATAATAAAATGTCATAAGAATTTAAGGATCTGAATCAATTTGTAATGCATATTAATTACTACAACTATTTATAGATACTTTTCTATTAATAGATCTGGAACCAAATGACTCAAAGATCAATTTTCATTCATCCTTGTCAAATTGTAGTGTCTTATTATATGTCTGTGCCAGACTTCTCCCAGAAACAATGAAAAATGTGTTATGAAATTAATCAGGATTTAAATAAATCTGGGTTATGGGGGAAGATGCTGTCAACTGTACTTCTTTGTAAGTGAAGGAGATTGAATTTTAATATGGTAGTGCTCAAAGTTAGTCCAGAATTACTTATTTTAAAGTGTGTTGCATATGTAAATTCTAAAAAAACCACCAGAATTTTAATAAATATAGCGGATTTAAGGATTTCCCCCCCCCCATTTATTCTGAAGAAAGAGAAGATTAAACAGAAGATTACCTGTCTGATAATTTGATAATGTTTGTTATCTGGTCATGTCTCTTTTTTTTTGTATTTGTAATACCACTATTGTAATTTACAAACTATGATTAAGGGGAAAATAAGTTATTAAATAAAACATGCTTAAAGCAGCTGTCAGGTATAGCACTGATGTCTCTAAAATAATCGAAGTGTTATAACTACCAAATTTGGGGACTGTAAATAATCTTTAAACATTTAATCTATAGTTGAGTTGATTAAAAAAGGAAAGTAAAGTGGACTTTCAGAGATGAATCAGTTTAGAGGTAATTAAAGCTATTGAGTATAAAAGGGATGTTACAAATTTTTGGTCAGTTAAAGAATTTTCTTATTTGGTAATTTTTAGTAGAATCATATTTTCTTTTAAAATAGCATTGCCCATAAATGCCCGAAGTTTTTATATTTAAATGCTTTAGAACCTGTAACTGATTTTCTTGCCTTTTAAACTGACATTTTCTTTACAAATAATTAGTTTTCAATGAACCACAAGGTAAAAAAGAAATTTCTAGTTTGCCCAACAGAACAATGAAAATTCTTTACATTAAAAGATTAAGATTTATTTATTTGAACATATATAGGAATATATGCACTATAGAATCACATTGATTTGAGAAACTTGCTACAATATATGTGTATACAGATTTGGATTAATCTGACAGTGACTCTATGAAGTCGCTGACCATAGTGCTGAACCAAGACAGCCATATTGGTAACTGCTAAATCTGACTGAAAACCACACAGAAATTATGTAGAGGTTCAAGTAACATCATCACTGTAATATATATATATGTATATATATGTATTTCATATATACTTTTTAATGTGTTAATTTTACCCAGATTTATTGGAATCAATCCGAAATTGTGGTAGAGAAATATTATCCCTGGCTGTAGCATTGATTTTGAAAAATGTCAGTATAATCAATGAGATCAATGCTAGAGATTTTCTCTTTCTTTGAAAGCTGCTACTTGCAGAAGAAGCCAAGATTTTAAAACCAGTTTGAGCAACTAATGAGTTCCTTCAAAAAGTAAAATTTTAGTTGACACTACTGTAAAGTTGAGTATGAATTTAATATTTGCAATTTTTGATTCAGGTTTATAGTCTGGCACTATCCAAACCATCGTTGAAACGTGTTATTAAAATCAAATTAGAAATGACTCACAAAATAAATTCTACTTGGAAACAATAATACAAGCAATTTTCTAAATAGGAAAATATACATTTTGGCATTATAATGATCTTGACTTAGTATTTTGGGGAAATTTTCTATTGTTTGAAGCAGGACAAACACCAGGCTGTCACTGTTTACAATATTACTGTGTTTTACATTGTGTGACTTGAATACTGGTATGAAACTGTTATAGAAATTACCTGAAAAGGAATGTTGTAATACATTTAATGTTTTAGTAAAAAGTACTATTTTAGACATAGAACTTTGACATTATTTTCCTAAAAATAGAATGGGTTGATATGCAGGATCATCAAATTAAGGGTCAAAGGTGACAAACCAGGACAAAGGGCATGCAGCTCATTTTCAAGCAATCAGTTTCCAGTTTTTTCATGGCTGAACAAAAGCTTAATTATATAGAAAAAAGGACATAGTGTTGTATGACCAGTTGTAATGATGGAAAAACATGTTTTAAATTTTCTAGATGCTTTCAAATCAGTATTTTTTTTTTACAGTGGAAATGCAAGAGCCAAAATGCTTTTATATTTTTCAGACATTTCTTTTACATTTTTTCAGACTCTACAAAAATATTTCAACTAAAATGTTTTTTACTGTGTAGGTTAAAAACAGACTTTTTTGTAGATTAAAATTTTTAGGAAAACTGTAAATTATTTTCTATATTTTTACATTAGTCTCTTGGCATAATCTCCTCTGCTAGTTAAATTCCTATTGTTTTTATTTAATATTATGTGTATTATACCAGTAGATCACTGACAGTGACATAAAGATGAGCAGCCTCTAAAACATCTCTCAATTTTTATTTTATTAAATAGAGGTGCTCAGGTTTAATTAGAATCTTGTTGTTTTAACCGTACCAAGAAGCTACGTTAAAGTTTCTATCTTAAAGTTATGGTGGGCCTTCAAAATATATGTGATTTGCTTTTTAAACAGGAATTTTCCATTATTTTGACTCTAATTTAAAACCACTATTTTTTTCCTTGAATTTGATGTGACCTCATCAATGATTCCACTGTGATCTTTATTTTATGAAACTGTTGTTTCATATTGTAGAAAATACAAACTATTTGCATTAGCAAAATCAACTGTACTGTGGCTCAGTTGTGTTACAACTTTCACATTTAAGTTAAAGAATTGTGTTTGCCAGTTAACTATTGTGCCATACTCAGTGCCTTTAAACAATCTATACAATATGCCCATTGACTTAATTAACATTCATCGAAGTTTATTTTCTAGAATAAATTATTTTTTACTACACTATTTGAAGAGAATTCTAGAGCTGCCTATATCATGTGAAACCAATAAAATTTCAATTGGAAAATGGTTGAGAAAGTTAAACTCATCTCTGTGATTTAGCCTTTAAGGCTAACTGTTTATATATTATAAATAATGAAAAATAAATAATGTATTATAATTTAATTCATAAATTTAAAAATGCAGTTTTGAAGTATTTTTCTTAAGTAATATAAATATTTTCATTCTCTCAAGAAAATGTTCAAAATATTTCACCAAATGTGAAGTTTGCAGTTTTAACACTCCAATACCTATGATTTTTCAACCGTATAAAGTCCCATGTAAATATTTAAAGTAGATCTTTTTAAAAAATTGTTTGTTCCTGTATATACTTGAAGGTACAGTATTTCCAGTTCTGGGTAAAATTACAATAGTATGTCCAGTTGAATTGCAACAATCATTTATACCAATTTTGCTTGTACAGAATTTGAATTGTTAACTAATTTGCAGAAAATAATTGCAGTGAAGGGTGTTAATACAAAGTAAACATTTCTTTAGGGGACAGTGTAGGAAAACATTCATTTCAATATTGAACTTCAACATTTAATATTTTACTTAACATGTGTTTTATGTTATATTTGTTATAGTAAATCTAAGTAAGTATTGTGCTTTAGGTTTCAATCTGGTGTTTGTATAGGATGTTTTCTATATGATTTTAAGTAGAGTCATTCAAAAACTTTACACCAAATATTCTAGGAAGGAAAAGTCACATTGTTGTCTACTTTACTTTTCAAGTAATGTATTTATTTCAATCATAGTTGAGTCATATTGTAAATAGACTATAATTTTTCTTATAAACCATAATGTGAATGTTTTTTGTAGTAATGTATTTTACACTTACATTATTTTAGAAAATACCAACAATGAGAAACAAAAAATTTGTTTTCTATAGTATTTTTTTAATGTTGAGAAATTATAGTGATGAGAATAAGTAATGAAATAATTTCCTTTTTATTTTGGTAAATATTCTTGATTGCTAAATCATTTTTTAAGAACTTAAAGTAACTTGCATATTATTAATATTAGAGAGAAACGAACATAATGTAAACTGATGAAATAAAAATCTGAGTTGTACGTTATGGTAATATTTTTACTTATTACTCAGTTCTCTGGGCTTGACAACTTAATTGGAAATTTTTTTAAAATGAGTGTATAATGGGTAGTAGTAATCATTTTCCTTTGCATTGAACAGTTACAATAGTGGATTAACAACAATATGTAAAGTACTTGAGAAGGATATTGTTATATATTTTAACATGAGGAAGTATGAACTCTAAGAGTGTTTATAATGGATAATGTTCATAAGTTAGGCAATTTTATAGCAGGAAGTACATATATTTTAAATAAAATTTATATGCAGATAGATATTTTGCATTTAAAATAGTCAAATGGTTAATTGCCTATAACATTCTCTCTTTTTTGGAAAAGATAAATTGTAAGAAAACTTTGTATACAAATTCATTTATTTCATAAAAGACATTCTACAGATGGTTTAGCTAGGTTCAGAAATTCATTAAGTCATTGATTCATTTTAAAAATGTATATTAAAGTCCTGGCTGGTCTGGCTTAGTGGTTAGAGTGTCAGCCCATGGACTGAAGGGTCCCGGATTCGATTCCAGCCAAGGGCACATACCTCGGTTGCAGCTTGATCCCCAGTCCCGGTCAGGGCATGTGCTCGAGGCAACCAATTGATGTGTCTCTCTCATATCGATGTTTCTCTCTCTCTCTCTCTCCTTCCCTCTCTCTGAAAAGCAATGGAAAAAAATATCCTCCAATGAGGATTAAAAAAAAAGTATATTAAATACTAAAGAATGCCAGGATTAAAATGATGAGATAAATATATACAATCCCTGCCACCATAGTGCATAGAGTCCGTTTGGGAGATAGAACATTTTCTTGGGCTATTATGGTCAATTACAGTTTATAGTATGGATGGTAGAAGCATTGTACTCAGTGTGTAACAATGCGAAAAAGAGATCTAAGTGAAGATTAAAGTGATGAATAGGTATTATTCTAGTGAAGGGTCAGGGAAGTATATTCTAGCATATCACAACTTTAATTAAATTTTTGTTTTTTAATATTTGCTCCAAAGTATAGTATTAAATACACCTGTGTATAAAATACAAATAGCTGGTGTTTGATTATTCATGCATTTAAGGAATCATTTTAATTCTTTATTGTTATTTCATTTCAAATAGTCACCTATAGTAAGACTATGAACATTTAGTATTATAAATAATTTATGTAACATTTACCTATCTCATTCCTATCATAGTTCAGTAAACATTGGATGGGTTATAATCATTTAAACTTAATTCTTTTTCTTTTATTAACTCTTGTTTTTGAAAAATTTTATACCATTACTTAATATCAGTGAAATATATCAATGTCTGTGATATAATTCCATCTTTTCCTTTGAAAAAGGATGATAATATTCAAACTATAACAAAAAAAAAAAACTATATGTGAGTTTGGATAGTGAAAAATCTGAACATACTTACCTTTCCAAATGATTGGCTCATTTTAAACCCAGAAAGCTCATAGTTAGAGCTCTTAAATAATATTATGCCATTTGCTTTCCACATTTAAAGCTACCATTTATAATCTATCATCTGAATTATTTAAAAATTGTTAGCAGACCCCATTGTTTTTCTGTATCTTTATAATATGTTGGTGTGAACTTTTCTGTAAATATAAGCAGAGAAGATTAAGCAGGGCAGTGGGCTATTAGAATAGAAAAACATGAGCTAGGGTTTTGTTGAAATTTTGTGTAATATTTAAATAAAGCCCTACTAAACCAAGTGTACAAAAGAAAATATAGTCTCAATGTAAAGGAAAGCTCTATTTCAAATAAGTTTTAATAAATTTTGTTAACAAGGTCTGTCATCATCATCTGTCTTGGTTGTAAACACAGGATAACTGAAGGATTTAATGTAGAGTTTCACATGCCTTTTGTTCACATTCTTCCTCTATTCTTTTTAAATCTCACTCAGTGGAATTGTCATTCTTTATAAGAAGAATCTCGGGTCAACATTCTCTATAACTCTGCACTTGGAGAAGCCTCCATTTAGGGTTTTTAAAAAAAATCCTCACCCGAGGATATGTTTATTAAATTTAGAGAGAGAGGAAGCGGGGAGAGAGAGAGAAACATTGATATGAGAGTGGAAACATCCATCAGTTGCCTCCTGTCCATGCCCTGACTAGGGATGGAACCCGAAACCAAGGTATGTACCCTGACTGGAATCAAACCCGAAACCTTTTGGTGCATGGGATGACACTCCAGCCAACTGATCCACACCCACCAGGGCCCTACTTAGTTTTAAGAAGAAAATTAAATTGCAACTTAAAGAATTTGCATATAATGGCTTGTTTTGTGTGAGTTGATTTAGTAGATATAGCATATAAAACTTAAGAGAACAAAGACAACCCTGGGTGGTAGCAGGTGAGTGGATACATGTTCAAACAAATCTATTTTCCAAACCTTAATAACTGACCTGAGGATAAAAATGATAATTCAGTGGTCATCAGGAGTTTTTTTCCAATTGCTATACTTCATTACTGGGTGAACTCTTCATTGCAAGTTTTATTGTATTGTGACATTGCTAGGACATATATTAGAAGTGTCAGAACTTACTCATATGTTTTAAACAAGAACTGTTGTTGCTTTTTAAAATCTGGGTTAATGTATATTAGATACTTTTATTTTTAAAATATACTTAATGATTAAATGAATTATTATTAAAGTAATTTTTTCTCAAAGAATATTTGACTGTAACAGACTACTATCAATGTTGTAGTACCATGATTAGATTCTCATGACTTATCTTCTAAAATATATCTGAAGAGAACAGTCAAATAAGTTCATCAGGAAGCACAATATTGTAAGTTAGGTTGATTCTTAACTGTCATTAAAAAAAGAATGGGATTCTTGAATTATAGTATAATATTAAACATTTTCAAAAAATTTAATTGCATCGTTCATGAGATTGGGGTATTTGACTACATCTTAATGGTCTTCTTTAAACCAGAGTCCTTTAATAGGCATGAAAGGCAAGTTTATGCCAATTGGTTATCTATCTAATTTTCTAGGTGAGTCTTAAGTTTGACTTCACAGAGTCAAAACCTAGGCATTTTATTGCTTTCTAATGAGCCATTAAGCTGATGAAGAGGCAATTAAATAGGCAATTAATGTAGTACTAACTTGAGCTTTCTGGTTTTAGGTTCTTCAGAAGATGATGAGGTCATTCAACCAGGTTTCATCAGCCCCAGGTTAGTCTTTTTTTTCTTCCCAGTAAATATTTTACATAAATTTATGTTTGGAAAGATCACTAGAGGCATATGAAAAAACTTGACAATCTTCAAGAATTCACTTTGGCAAGATGGGTACCATATCCTACTGTACTCCAGATCACTCTGTCCTAACCAGAATGCATGGATGAAATCTTGTAATTAACTCTTTTTCCTCCTGATTTTAGCAGCACTGGATTTTGTGATTATTTTTTCCATAACTCAAGAAAAATAGATAATAGATATTTGTATGCTTATGTACCTGAATGAAGAGTATTTGTAGCTTGTTCATTTTTGGAACACCCATAGCAAATAGGCTCTCACAAATATAGGTTGAATTAATTTAAAGATAGAGACTTTGTGCTGTTTTCAAATAACTTAATATAAATAGCACAATATGTTAGATATTTTTCAGAGAATTATGGAATTTCACTAACCTAGGAAAGCTCCATTTATGTTGATTTTCATGAACTTGTATCATGTTTGTTCCTCATTATACTGCAAAAATGAGTCATTTGAACTTTTAATGTATTAAACCTGGACTCTTTTTGGTATATATCCTTTCATTTATTTAGGTGTATTGTAAAACCTAGATTTTTGATAAATGTTTTCTTAAATTATTGAAACTCACTTAAAACTTATGCTATTTTCAGTATAATTTTATTTGATAATGTAATACTCTGGCTTATGCTCTGATGAATTTAATATTTTGGTTCTGTTGACTGATTTATGAAAACACATTTAAAAGCTGTGGTATCACCAAGTTTATGATCATTAAATAAGTACAAGTAAAAAGATGTTATTCTGTTATTAAGCTTATCAAAATTTAAGATTGGTAGGTAGCAAGAGGAAAATAGTAGGGATCAAAAAGTTTAATGAGGAAACCTCTGATAGGCATTGCCATTTGACAAACGCTTTCCTTTTTTCTAGAGTGAATCCTTTGACATGGAGATGATGCTCTAATGAGTATCATGAAAAAGAAGATTCTGAAAAGTTGCTACAATATTTTAATTTACCAACTAGTTTCTGATAACTATAGATTGTGGTTTTTCTGTGGAGGCAAACTGGAGACAGTCCAGATACCTTTTTCTTTTCTGTTGGGAAATAATGTTAACACCAATGTGTTAAGTGACTGCAATAAAGTTTCATGTCTGTGTTTCCTTGTGATTAAAAAGGGGTTGTTCGGGAGAGGTTCCACTTTCACCCAAAAAGAAAGGTTATTTCCAGGGATTACCTTTAAGCTGAAATACTTGAACATCAACTGGTCTAGTCTCTGAGTCCTCAGTTTGCAGATGAGGTAACAGGTCAGAGAAGCTTAGTGATTAGTAAGGTCAGCAAATGGCACCAGAACTCTGGTTTCTAGTTTCTAGCTGGATGCTCTTTCTCCACAGATTTGCTTCCCACAAAGGCATCTTTAAAACCTGGAGGTTTCTTCCCACTTCCCTCATCTTTTATTCCCCACTGTTCTTTTCCTTCCCATTTTCCACCTACCTACCTGCCCCCTTTCCCAAATAAAGCCAAAGTGGAAATATTAAAGTAAATACCTGGAAAACAATCCACCCTCTTATTTCAGTTGTTTCTTTTGATGAGATTAAGTTATAAATAACCAACTTTCACTCATTGCCTTGGAAGGGAAAGATTACATGTTTACATTACTTAATGTCACTTCTATAGACTCAGAATATTTACTGAAAAAAAGACATTTAAATTATAAAGCATACATGTTCAACTCATTCAGATGAAAAATACTCATTTTTTTTCATATAAAAAAATGAAGCTTCCTTTTGTGCTGTTCTGGCCAAAATAACGTAGTGTTTATTACAAAATGATTTTTCTAACCCATTTCTGTCCTAATTAAAATCATTTAACAAAGTATTTGTTGAGCACAGTTCAGGAGATACTTGGGAATCGTAATAAAAATTTTTATTTTTCCTTTTTGTTGGGGGAGTGTGGTAAAGGAAAAGGATTTTTTTTCCTATTTCAGTTTTTTTTAAAGAAACTACAAAATGGTGCTTCTAAAATAATGTCCTTTTTCTGAATTTTATTGCGCTAAATACTTTGCTGAAACATAACTGATCAAAAAGAAGAAAACATTTGCAAATTTTTTTTGAAGTGAAAACAATTTGGAAAATTTGTATACTAATCAGTTCCTGTATTTCCATAATTTTATTTAATTATACCTGGAGAAATGTGTTAAGATATTTAAAGAAGAAATTTAAAGAGATTTACAACTGTGTAAAAATTCTCAAATGGGAACAATTGTGCCAGAACAAAAATGCCAGAGCATTTTCCTTCCAGATAAGGAAATTAAATGAGAACGGAATTTTACTCTTTGAGAACAAAAACAAAATGCCCCCCTATTCTGAAGTGCTTGTAGTATAAGATCAAGGCACCCAGCCCAGCACTCCTTTCATTTGATTCCGTATTGTAAGAATTTCAAGAAAGTTATTTGCCAAGTAGCTTGCTGAAACCGCAGTGGGAGGGATTGGAGACAGTTTGCCCGACGTGCAGCTTTGGAGCTGGAAACCTCAAGAGACCAGAGTGGGTTCCCTAAAATCGCCCCCCGCCGCCCCCCACCCGACCCCCTTGCCGGACTAGGGCTCTTCCTGACCCTCCAAAGACGCGCGGCGATGTTTTCGGGGCTGCCCTAAAGTGCGGGCGCCAGGAGTCTGAAGACCTTTTTATTTTAGGCAAGGCTGAGGCGGGCGAGGGGAGGCAGTGGTCACTTTCTCGGGTTCTCCTGATTCCTTTCCCCTTGACTTTACTTAGCTTGGATTTCCGAGACTGGCATCTCACACACGCAAAGGGATCACACTAAAAACGATTATATCCAAAAATGCAGTAAAAGTAGACTGTGCCAAGTGTCTTCTTCCATCGTGGTGAAGGCCAGGGTTTCCTTTGTTTGGTGTTCGGGGGTGGGGGGTGGGGGGAGGACAAATGTAAAAATCCATTAATTAGCGAGCAATCATTAGCCTCCTTCGGAAGGGTTCCACTTCTTGAGAGGAGTTGGTGATGTGCCGAATAAAGGGAAGGCGACTGGAGAGAAAAAGGGGAGAGGAAGTGTCGGGGGTGGAGGTTTGAAAGGGCAGCTCGGCTGGCCTGGGGGTCTCGGCGACCCGGGGCGCGAACTGCGCGTGAAATTACAGGGCTTGGAGAGCAGCTCGGGCTGCAGAGCCGCCCCGCCGGCCGGGAGAGCCGGGTGGAGCCGCTCGCCGCGCCGCGCCCCTCCTCCTGGGCTAAGAACCGGAGCATTGTTTCTGCTTTGATAGAAGTTACTCGTTGCTTATAGGAAAACAACCACGGTGGGCTGTGGCACCCCTTTGGGCTCCTTGCATTATGCTGTTGGAATTAAAAACAAAACTAAACAACAACAACAACAAAAACGGCCGAGAACGTGTACTATGCTTTTTAAATGGCGAAACCTTAAGTTTTGATAGCCAATGATAGGTTATTTCCTTGATTTTTACCCCCAGTGAGTTAAAGATCTTTGTAGCTATTTGAACTCATTTTAAAAATATTTTGGAAGAACTATGATTAATCAACCTACTGAAACATTTGGCTTTCACAAATATAAAACATGCGTTTTGAGTCAAGCACAGGTCTTTCTGGCACTAAAAACAAGTAGGAAATGAGAAAAAAATTAAAACCAGAAGACTTCAGGAAGGTGACAAATTGGAAAGCATTCTAGGAGATTCATAGGACCATTTTATGTGAAAGAAGCATTCTATGAGCTTAAAGAGATTATGTTGAGTTTTATAAAAGGATCTTAGGCTCAAAAGATGGGGGTGGGGGACAGAAAAGACGAATCTATGTAAAATACAGTGACATATCCCTGAAATGGTGATACTTTGTTTCTCACTGTGTCTCCTCCCTTCACTTTTCTCCCCAATTTCCTTCCCTCCTCCTCCCTCTCTTCCCTTCTCTCCCCCTTTCTTTTGCACCCCCCCCAGGTATGTAAAGGCAGTTGCCCAAAATTCTTTGTGAATGAACATTAGAGGATTTCTCAGAGTTCCCATTTGGAAAAAGCCTTCTACACAACTTGAAAGGCTGATGTCCCTCTCAGGAAATGAATGAGTCGATAACCTCTGACACCAGTGACCAGTCCAGTGAACCCTACCTTAATTCCACTAATACTGGAGGCCCCCAATCAGGCAAGACTGAATCTCCTAACCAAACCATGCTATGTGGTTCAGTTATGGTATTTCACACTTTACATCTGTATTGATATGTTTGAATTTCATAAAATTTAACAATAAACAAGGATTCAGAATCCACCTATATATTGTTTCTGGTTTTATTAAACTATTTTCTACTTAAACTTACAAATAAAATATCCTGTGCTATAAATACGTGTCAGTGACAAAACTAAACTGCACTGGCCTGTGAATTTTATGACAATTGGTTTTACATGAATAGTAGCTTTCCCCCTCAATTTACATGAATACGCTTTTCCAGGTTATTTTTCTGTTAACCAGATGTTTTTGTGTTTTTTTAAAGTCTTTCATTTAAAATATTTTTAAACGACACATAATTTATTTTGGTATTTTCTGTGTTGTATTATGTGAAATGTTTAACCTGGAATGAATGCCCTTGTTAAAGTTACTTCATTATAGGTCAATGTAATCAATTGCTTTTTTATTAAAATAAAGCCTAGTAAATGTTTTGTTAACAAATTTTTTGAGAGCGTTGAGCTTTTGTTAACCCTTCAAAATCATTTGGATTTTCAGGCGTTTTCTTTCCTCCCTACCATAGTTATGCCCCCCAAAGAAAATGAGAAAACTTTGCCCCCTTTCCTGAGAAACAACAAAATAAATAGACAAAAAATCTTTCCAAATTCATCAGTCTTGAGTGAAGCCTTTTACCACAAAAACACCTGAAAATAGCATGTATTTATATACATCCACTTATTTCAGATCTGAACTGATGAGTATAAAATTATATTAGTTGTTTAGTATGGGGAGGTGTGCATAGATGCTGTATGTGGATTTTCAGAAGCTCCTGGATTCAGGCTCCCTGCATTTCAGTTGGTGTGAAACAGTGTTCGTTAGGAGTGTTAAGAGTTAGCAGTGTGGACATGTTTGGAGACACCGGAGGGGATTGCGGGTTTGGTGGGGGAGGGTCAACTCGGTAGCTTTGCCTAAGGGAAGTGGTATCTGTACAGTTTCTCCGTAAACTGCTTGTTTAAGAAAATGGGGGTGGGGTGGGGGAAAGAGTCGTGGTGCGTTTAAATGTTTAAAAAACGGGTGATGTTTTATATTTTAAAGGAAATAAGGCATTTCTAGTTGAACTATAGTATTTATTGTAGCATTCGATGAGGGCGGTAACACTGGTGGTGTCAGTATCTAGCAATCTGCAATCATTTGAACCGATTTGAAAGGTAAAGGGAAAGCGTTTTCAAACTCGGGCGGGCCGGGGACCGGGCGATAGGAGCCTAATCCGTTATTAAATTTTCGCTTATTCGACTCTTGTATCCACTGGAAGTTGACTTTTAAAATGTCACGGTCCAGTCGATGTTATATGAATGTACCCTTCTCCCTCCCGCTCGCCTCTCTTCCACCCCTCCCCCACCAGCGCCNCCGCGCTCTTCACCTCCCCGCCTGCGCACCCCTCCCCCCTGCCCTACCTCGTCTTGCTCTTGGGGAACAATCGCCACTGATTGAGGTTCACTCTATGTTAAGCTGGAAAACTGGGCTGTTATTTAGGAAGTCATTAATCACATCTCCTCCCCCGGAAAGAGATGGCGGAGAAACCTGTGAAGTACAATTTCTTACCAGCCCCCTCCAAAATGTTCCGAAATGATCAACCTAAACACAATTTGACTACGTGAAGGTGGATAGGGCAATTTTTCCAGTAGGATTTTATTTTAAATGTGAAAATTGTTAGGGCACATCCAGGCAGTCGTGTGCTTTTGTGTTATTGTAGGTGTTTATTATCATTATATAAACTTTCATGGGGATGTAATTAGATTTGATTAGATCTTTTGTAAATTGTATATTTTCCTCTTAAGAACTGAATTAAATAGGAGACTTGCGTCCAAAGCAGGTTTAGTGCTGTCGAGCCGCTGAATTTTTAAGGGGG